ATAACTAAATTGCTACCTCAGCTACCTCATTACCAAACACCGTACCATGATAATTCTACGAACCACTCATCCCAAACATGGGTGCAAAATAAAGAAAATTTCCTTTACTAAGACTACATTTTCCCTAAAAATCTGCTTCGTCTTCGCAACGCCGCTTCACTTCAGTGGGGTATAGTTAAGTAAGGCAGCCAATTTCAGACTGTAGAGCTAGTTAACTGATTCTACTGTAGAAGATGACTTAACGGCGCGTGATGCATTTCCTAACTCGTCTTACCGCATACCCATCCCACCTGACATAAAGGTCATTGTATCTCCTTGATTGCTAGTTGTCAACGTCGACTGCGCATGACTGCTACTGGGTACCGTAGTGACCGCTGGTGGCCAGGGTTCTGCGGTTGGCCTCAACCCAGAAGACATAGGGGCCTGCGTCGAATCTGAATACTGTACATGCTCAGCTGGCGACTGCCAAGAGCGTTGGAACCCCCCCATATGTTGCGGGGACGACCAGTAATCAGTGGTTGGTGAGCGCACGCCACTACCCGTGGGAGATGAGTAGCGCCGCTGACCTCTTATTGCATAACCTTGGGGCTTTGGTGACCACGCCTCAAAAGACGAAGATGGGGCTCTGGAAATAAATACGGTACCATTAACCATGGTGAAAAATAAGTTACATACTCTCAGTATGAGTTACTTCTACTAGTAAAAACAGAAGCTTGTGGAATCGAGCCTTTAAGGTACTAATTACGTTATCTATCTGGTCTTAACCTTCGGCTCAGATTTTAGATCGAAGTGTACCTACCCATAATTCTGTTGCATTCCACGTGTCTCATCCAATGCTCTATCGGGTAGTCCCGTGGGTCGAGGGCCTTGTCTTCGGCCACCCACTCCTCCCATACCAAACGCTGTCCTACCGTCTATCTGAGCTTCGACTGGAACTTCTTCTGACGAAGAGGAACCGGAGCGTACAGAGGACAAACTGCCAGCAGAGGATAGCCTACCGGGGGACTGGTTTGAGCCATATTGGAATGTGTCCCAAGTTTGACCTTGATTTGGAACGCGGGACTTCCACTCCTCAGCCGACATCTGACGGCCGTATCGACCATAATTACCCTGGACAGTTTTACGATGTCATGAATTAACTGTTTTGTTACCAATGAAAACATTCAATGATTAAAACTGTCTGTCTGATTATTTGTTGGGTTATTATTTTTGGAAGGAATTAGTATTTTTGTATTTGCGTCTTTGTTTGTTGATAAAAGTGCTAATATTCTGTTAAGGTTGAGAAACTTATTCATCATTGAGATGGTCGCTTAGTCATCAACTCCGTTTGTTTAAAGAGGGCATGTTTCTGAAGAAACTGTCATGCTACGTCATATCGCGCAGAAGTGTGTGCACATCCGGGATATTTACGGGTGCAAGGGCACTAAGTGGGGGAGGAGAGGGGGGTACTGCAAGATCATTTGGTTGGTCAATTGATAGTGCACAGTGCATAGTGGCCACTGTTGAGTGTTTCTGCAGCTGACGTTTCGATGTTTAACCCTTTGTCAAAACTTAACATGTCTCTTTGTTTGTTTGTTTGTTTTTATGTTGTAATTTAGTCTTCTAACGTTTTCATCTCTAACCTGCTGGAACTGCCACGGTTTTCCGGATCCATCGCTATGCTTTCCTACCAAAGGCTTCTTCCCATCCGGAATCGGTGACGCAGGGAACTTCGGTGGGGTGTTACCCTGCAGCAACATCTCATTAATGTACTGTGTAGCAGTGCTACCATACAGTCTGCTAAGATTATTCCCCTGAGAAGGCCCCGGCATGTCGAACATAGGAGAAACGGGTTGGCTACCAGTTCCTTCTTGCTTGAATTTCTGCTGCAAGAAGTAGATGTGCTCTCGGTATTTGTAGACCTAGGCAAAAGCAAGAATACCGAAACTGTCAGTTACAAACGGTAAAATAGCTGGGGGGAGGGGGGGCTTTGGGGTCGAAGTAATTTCTCCTACCCCCTTCCACTTCATTACCCCCCCCCCCCCCAACACCCTTTCTAAACATGCCACAGGCAGGCTACCAAGGAAACAAGCAACGTTACATTGCTTGAAATTGGTTCGAAATGTTGCAGAAAAATGAATTTAGTTAAGTTTGGGAATGCATGACCATTTAAAATTTCAAACCACCCCCCTTCTTTTGTTTGTTTGTTTTTTCGGCCAGGAGGTGGCTATATGGTGCATACCGAATATCGGACATATTCTTCAATTGTATTCTAATTATAAAAAAGGACAATTCAAAGACCAAATCACCACTGGTCGCACAAATGTTGATATCATAAAGTGCTCCCACCACAAGTGCTGGAAATGCACTAGATGAGTACTGCAGAAGCTCGCTGGCCGCTAAAAAAGTTTTCGGAGAACACACTGTACATGGCACACTTCTAACCTGCTCCTGAAGGGAAGAGATACGAGACTGATAGTTTTCCAGGTCCCTCTTCAATTTGTCTTTTAGAGACAAGGCACGCTCTTTCTCTTTCCTTTCGTTCAAAAATTCTTCACGGTATGTTTCGTTCTGTGAATGAAGAAAAAAGAGGATGACGAGAAACTGACAATAAGTTCAAGTAGGTAACGTAGTTGGCATGTAGTCATTTAATGTCTTTTATGCAGAAAGAAGTATTTAAATGGTTGAAGAGAGAAACCGCTTTTGGGGAGCTGGGCAAAGGAACTTAAGGGTCAGACGAAAACAGGGCTGGGTTTAACTCTTACTAATCAGAGCTGCAAGCTTCAGACAGAACAGAAGAATACTCGTAGTCTTACCTGTCTCTGAAGAGCAATTAACTGTTCGATGCTAGGCAAACCGTTGTCATGAATATGTTTCTTCAGTCTCTTGAAGTCGTCAATCTGATCCTCCTGATCGCAGTGAAATCGGACAAATTCTTCGCTTTTAACCTGTTGGCAAAAGCAAGATCCATGAATCATTAGGACTTTCACAAGTCTTGCTGTTTAAGGCTTCTGCGGAAATACTGAATGGCGCGCCAGTTGCTTTAGACCATGAAGTGGCACGCCCGTCAAACAAATGAATTAAACATGGAGCTCTATATGAGCCGCGGAGCTTTATATGAGCCGAACCAAATCAGCGTCTGAATCAATTAAGAACACCTGCTTCATTTTGAAACGGCTCAGTTGTTTCTCCCCGCTTGGCTTGATGTCACTGTTGAAGGTATTCAGGTTACAGATTTTATGTCTTGTTGAACTGTAAGTTCAAGGGGATTTTTAAGAAGTTCTGTCATAATGCTGGCATACGCTCGATGCTCTGACTATAGCATTATGCCTTAAATTATGCCGGCATAATTTATCTGACCCTCTTTCTCTGCAAAAGCTTTGAGGAGGCTTTGATTCAGATAAAGTAAGTTGGTATTATCAACTGAGTTGATAACGTAAATTGGCCACCGTTAAAAGTTTCAAATCTGACTTTTCGAACGTTAGCCCTTCGTCGTTCGTTATCACGAAAGGCTTAAGCTCGAAACGTCAGCTTTGAACTCTTTACGGTGACCAATTTAAGTTATCAACTCAGCTAATAATACTAAATTACCTTGTTTTACTCTTCCATCGACGCAGCACCACAGTTTCTTTAAAACTTACCTTTTTTATTCATTAGATTCAGACAAACGGACAAAGAAATACAAAAAGCTTACTTGCAATGATTTCATGTTTTTAGACAGATTCTCGACCTGCTGCCTCAAAGATTTCTGTTCAGCAATAGAAGCGAACTTTTCTTGTGTTTCTCTCTCAAGGATTTCCTGCATTTCCTGAGCTCGGTACAGTAATTGGTCATATTCGTGTTTCTGCTTCTGTTCATTTGCCTGATATTGTACAACTGTTTCCTGTAGCTGCCTTTTCTCTTGTTGCAGTTGGTTTATTTCACCACGCAACTCGTTTTCATCTTTCTCGCGACTTTCTTGCAATTCCTTCAAGCGTTTTTCCAGCTGGAAAGAAAAGTAATAGTATAAAAACTGACTTAAAAATTGTTTCCGAGATGTTTACCGACCAAACTGGCAAAAATAAAGCCATAAAAAAATCTTGACTAAAAGGTCATCCCCGCGTTTCCCGCGCTTTGTTTTGGTTGGTCACCCTGTCAAAATGCCCGGATGTGCAAGCGTATTGGAAGGCGGGAAAATTTGGCGCACTCTAATGTGGCGCTCAAGGGGAATTGTAGACTTTCATTATTTTCTGAAATCTTTGCATTAACTGAAATGATAGCAATCATTTTGCGTACTTCGTTTGGAGAGCTTCCAATCCAGCGTCAAAGTAAGTGAATCCATCACCTCGTTACATGTGGTTTCATTTCTATTTTCCCCTTAAATTTCCTTTTCCAGTCTTATTGGGTTTGCTCATGAATAATTGAGCCGCGAGTAGATACAACTGAAATGATCCCGATTATACATGTAAAAGTTTCATTTTCGAGCGCTGGTTGTTTCTTCAACTGTTTCCCTCAATCGTGAGAGACATTATGGACTCAAAACAAAACTACAACATAAAAATTTTAACGAATCAGTGATGCTCTTTGCGAAAAACAAATCTAAACAACATACAAGATCATTCTTTAAAAAAAAACACGGACATGACGTTATCGACATTGCTGATCCTAGCAGCATAGAGGACACTTGTTATATATGAACTTCGTAATGGGCCTTGCTCGCCACAGCCGGCGTCTCTGTGGCTCAGTGGAAGAGCATCGGAGCGCGGAATTCTAAGGTCTAAGGGTCGATTCCTCATGAGGACTCTGAATTTTTTCTTTGTTCCACTATCGTGACGAGACGGAAAAAACAGCTATCTGTGAGATATTAAGATATGGAGGAAGATGTTTTTTCGTCTTGTCACGAGCGAGGGACAAAGAAATAATTCTGAGTCCCCATGTTAAGATATGTATGATATTCACTAGCCGGAAGGTCCGTATTAGGAAAAACTGTGCCCGGGGTCTTGGATACCGCCCGAGGCCGTAGGCCGAGTGCAGTACTCAAGACAGATGTACACTTTTGAACAGCAGTAAAAACCCGGGTTAGAGGACTATCACAACGATTTTGTCTTCAAAAACAGTCAATGATCTAACTTTTATTATACATTTTCAATAATGATGACTTATCCTTTAAGGTTTACCTCTGTTCAGTTAAAAATGGCATGGAAAGTTTATGAGTTATTATACGTAAATTCAAATGTATGTTTTAAAGTTTTGAATGTCTGTTTGTTTGTTTGCTGCAGGGGTGAATGGCGTGTGTAAATATTGACTTTTCTTCCACGAAAATTTGCATCTTAAAGTCTCTCTCATGAACCGATTGAAAAGAGCACATTGCAAAACTAAGAGCGGTGTGGACTGCCGGAATGCGCGAAATTAGCCAATCAGACTAGGGGAATTTATATTCTAGACTGCTGAGATGCTTGGGAGAAAAGAAGTTCTTAACTTCAATTAACTTACTTGTAGTTTCTCAGAGTAAACTTGATTCATTTTCTCTGTAACTTGACTCATTTCTTTTTCCATGTTCTCAAACTTGGTCTTCAAAACCACTTGCCCATCACTTGAACAAACAACACAACCATTTGCCACAGACTGATCTGATTTATCCTTGGTTCCTTCATTTTGAAAATTCCTTGTTTGATTTCGAGAGGGTTCTGCAGTTTGGTCATGAGAGCAGCTGCAACCATTGCATTCGTCCTTTAGCTGAGAGCAATCTCCCCCATTTGTCTTGCTGTTGTTCATGTTTGTTCTCCCAATTGACCTTGAGGTTTTTTCGTCCTTCATAACATCTAGTTTTTCCGCTAGTGCAGAACAAAGGACATCTTTTGCTCTCAGGGCCCTCTCTAGCTTTTTTGTCTTGGATATGTACTGCACAAGCTGAGATCTGAAAAGTGTTGAGCACCCTACAGTATGATAATAAAAAATAAATCAATCAATAGAGAACAAAGAATAAATATCACAGAGCAAGTGCACATCTATAAACATTTACAGATGTACCATTTGCATTTACCAAAATTTGCCAAATAATATACCTAGCAGACAAAAAAAAGGGTTCATAATTTTGTTATTCACTTAAAATCTTCTCTAGCTGAGCATGAACCCAATGTTTCTTAATTCTCTGTGATTGCATTTTCTCAATTTGCAGTTTTGATGCCCCATATATTTTAAAAGGGGGTAAGTTTCTAAAGAAAGTGTGGTACTTTGTAAGAGGGAGAGTGTATCAGGAAGCTCTGATCAAAGGCTAACACTCAATACATCAACTTTTAAACTCTTTACAGTGGCCAATTTATGTTATTTTAACTCAGTTGATAATACCAAATTACCCATATATTTTTATACTCCCAATAGAATTTTGGACTTTGTCCCAAGGACACAAAACAGGTTCATAGCCAGGGCAGGGCTCAAACATAGAAATCTCGACCCACAATCTAATGCACCAAACAATAAGCCACTGCATGGGTCTTGCATAACTTATTCTTATCTCAACACTCACTTTCACAACAGTTTCCGTTTGGTTCTTGATCACGAGTTACTTCTTCCAATAACCCGACTTGCTTTTGAAGTTCTTTATTAGCTTGTAGTAGGTTTGTGATCAAATCTGTATTCTTGAAAAAAACAACAGAAAAAAGTTAAAACAAAGAACAAACAAATTGCAGCAATGCTATAGAACTAGATAATTTGATTTATCAGCAAAGAGCATCACCAGTGTATACATTTTGAACGATCTTAACAAGGTTGATTATTTTAAACATGATCATTTCTTTTCAACCCTTTAACTCCCAGATCAAATTTGCGATTCTCCTTACTGTCAACCATAACAAGTCTTATAATATTAGTTCAGAGAATTTAGTATTAGATCAACTAATTATCCCCAAATTGATATCTTTCTTTATTCTCAACACTTATCTGGTTGAAATTTTATTGAAATTGTAAGGAGAAACTCTGTCTTGGTCACTCATGGGAGTTAAAGTGTTGGCACTGGCTATAATCACCATACCCTAACAAATCTCCTTTATAAACATCCATATGAAACCCATTCTTTAAAAGATTGCTACAATTATCTTTTCATCCTTTGATCCCAAAGAGTGACCAGCATCTAGGTAAATTCTCCTAATAGTATTATCAATGAATTACACATTGAGGTTATAAGAGTTAAGGAAATGACCACCAATTATAGATGGCCTTGATTTTTAAACAAATTTTGTTCATCATTAGGATGTGTGTGAAAAACAGCATGGAGAGCAATGGTAATCACTAAACTAAATAGAATGAACTGGCAAGGTTGACCTTAACCAAGAAATCATGTACTTCAGTCTTTTCTAAATCAAAGTTTAAGAGGGTGCATGAAGAAATAATCCATGCAGTTTTGTCTTGTTTATACACTTTACTTTTTTCTTTTATTATTCCTTCAGCCCCCTAAGGTGACTTCACTCTAAATTATCCATAAAATATCACCTCTGAATCAAACATTCAAGTCATGAGAATGACTTAAATGATTCCTAACCAAGGAAGCTCTTGATTGTTTTACCACAAATACTGGAAATGTCAACAGAACAGTATGGAGAATATACATACTGATGTTTAAATGTAAAGAGTTTGGGAGCTAGGAGAACATGATATTTGTCTAACCAAATATCTCAATAGTGTTCTTCCCTGTAGCTCATGTACATTTCTCTGTAAATGAATTAAGAAAGTTTTAATTTTGGTGTTACATGAAAAAAGGAAACACTGCTATGCTTCCAAATTTGTTTGCACATAAGCACCTACATCTACTTCAGATCTTCATCTGCATTAATCAGATCAGATGGCAGCACTTAAGCATCAAGTCAAAAACATCTGATAATAATTATATATATGTGTGTGTGTGTGTGTGTATGTATTGATAAATAAATAGAAAATTAGTTCAGCAAGGAATAGAAAATATAGTCTGTACAAGTAACACAGTGATCTTGAAATAATGAGTGCATTACATTAGTTTAAATGATACATGGAAAAGAATTTCAATCTTTCATAGCTCCTCGACATTACAAAGATATGAAACTTTATAACATCTTGATTGCAATCTGCTTGAAAAACATGATTAATAGACCTCAAATTTAAAACTATGCTTAACTTTTGATATTTAAAATTCAGGTGTAAGTGTATCTATGGGAAAGTATATTGAAACTCCAAGGATAAGTCACAGGTTAAATGTTAAATCTTCTGGGGGTGAATTGGTTCATTAACCCTTTACATTTTAACATTAGCATGCAAGTTCCCCACGCTGTTCTCTATACATCTCCTATGATGCTGAAAAGGAGAATTTGTTTTATAATCAGGGGCAACTTTAGTTGGTTATTTATTTACCTTATGCTTTGGACCTTAATGTATGATTCAGGGGTGATATTGTGAGGAAAAATTATATGTTAGTCACTCTTAGGGGTTTTAAGGTTAAAAATGCACGATAAAACTAAGAATGACCCCATTAGTTTATGAACAATAATAACAAAAGTGTAATGCCAATAAATGTAAAAAAAAATTCAATTATCAAAGATAAGTGGATAGAATTAATTATGAATTTAGCTTTTTACTGAAATTAGTAATATTCATTGATTGTTCATCAGAGTTCTAGCAAAGAATGCAATTAAGGGGAATATTTTGGTATGTTGTGGTATTTTCCATAGTAAAATATTAACTTGTTTATGCCAATATCTAACAGAGAGAGGAGTCATTGAAGCATAAAGCCATAAACTTCAAAATATTCAAATCATGATCATCTCAGAGGAGATCATTTTGAAGTGTACATCAGTTGCTGCTGTTCAGTCTCTTAGAGAAATTGTGATTTAAATAACACCAGCAGTCACAAAATCTTCCAAGATCAAATCGCTACATTACAGTATTTCTACAAAGATGACCTTTTTAGGATAAAAAAGGGCTTAAATTTAATATCGCCGCAGGAGCTTAGCAATTGATGTTACCATGTTGCTTATGGGACTATCTGAATTTTAAGTTTGTAATGTCTGAATACCATGGCAAAACTTAGCAATCATCAAAAGATCGTATGCAGGTCAGGATTTGACAGAAACGTCTAATATAGCCGAAAAAGTTTCGCAGACAATGAAGAAAATTCCAAGACCCCTAAATGCCACTTGTATTACAACATAATATCTTTAGCAAGCAGATATCGTGTGATCTCACTTCTCTTGCAACGAGTCCGCTACACACTTTACAAAACTTCCGCGAACGTGTATTCACTCCAACTCATTGAAAACTTTTAAAAATAGAATCCAGCAAATTGAATTTAAAAACAAGTTACATCGAAAAGCAGACAAGCTGAACAGACACAGCCGTTCAAAGAAAAACCGCGAGTCTGGCATCGAATTTCACCGAAATCACGACATACAGGTTCAAACGTGAATAAAATATCAGCCAGACACGCAATAATACATGAAGCTGCAACTACGATTTGTTTCCAAAGAGTCAGAGATGAGTTAAGCTGGAAACTGCAGCCGTTGTGTACCAAATTTTACGACTGCGTGAAAACGACATCCGCTTGCACAATGCGAAGAGATGTTTGGCACGCGATCAAATGAAAACCGAAAACAATAGCTATTCGTTTAGTCAATTTGTGGGTCTTGTCGACACAATGCATTGAATGGATAGCTCCAGTTCTAAGAGAAAACCCACGAGCGAAATAGCAGAAATATGGCCTCTTAAGGGAAAGAAAACGATCAGCCTTGTTAAACGATTAATAGGCGGCCTTGATCGCCGAGATGCAAACATCGCGGCGCTTTGGTGCATAGCATGAATAATAGTTTATTACGGTTAATTTACTCTGAACGCACCAACGGAATTGTAAAGACACCGTCTCTAAACTCAACCTGTAATTATGTACTAGAGTATTAGTGGTTATAAGAGGGTAAATGAATTGCGACCGCGGCAAAAATTTGTTGTAACTTAATATGGCGATTGGTTTTGCACAAAGAAGGAAATAAGGCGCTCCACCTCGAAACATGTCAAACCGATAGTCAACACGCGGAAACAAAGAAGCGCCCGACTCACCATTCACGAAAGGAGTCGTCCAGCTCAAAATTAGTGTCATGATGTCGCACTGTTCATTAATTTTTAGCTTCTGCTGTCGATACGAGGGTGATTTTTGCAAAAGAATGGCGTAGACGTCGATCGAAATGAGCTGTCTGCACTGCACGGAGCGCAGCGTTTGGAGTCAGAAATGTAGGCGTGGGGAAATCGCTGAAATCAGCCAAGCAGCCAGTGAATGTACAATTTGCAAAACAAAAGTAAACTTACAAGATTTGTGACCAAGCAATGGTAAACACCACGTGGCAAATCGATTCCGTGAGTTGGAGATATCGCAGCGAGCATTCACACGACGAGTCAAACAACGTCAACAAAAGGCCACTTCAGTTCGTGAGTCGCTAACACAGGGTATCAAATATAACCAACCGAGGCCTTGCAAATCACAATAACATTACAAGCATGCTCGCTAGTGAGGGATAGGGTTACACTTGTCAATGAGAACAAAACAACTCACCGTCGAACTGTCTGTATTTCCATAAACATAATTCGTGTTGTCGTGCTTGAAAGTCACCGATTTCTCATCGCAGTGCAATTTTTCACTTCTGTGAGCTTTCCGAGTCGGAAGCTGAAGGCCGGCGTCCGCGTTCAAAACAAGAGAATCCTCAGCACATATTTCACCAGCGCCTTCAAAGAAGATTGCGTGTTCGCGGTTAGGCTCTGTGCAAAGGCTTTGTAAAATACCTCGCAAGGCACATAGTCCACGGAGTTTCACCAGCATAGAATTTTTTTCGCGCACTAAATATAGAATTACTCGTCTTAGCTCTTCGTTGTGGTCGCTATATCCCCATTCGTCACCTCCTCCTGGTTCAAGCTCAAAGTCGAAAAGTTCTGCGCCCTCTTCGGGCGGAAACCACATTCTCCACCGCTAACGACCAGACGGGCTTCAAACGACGAGAGCCAAGTTACAAAAAGAATCCTTGGTTTAAAAATACAATGGAGAAAAAATTATCACCACATAGCGTTTTTTGATAGCAGCAAATCACATGCCACCACTCCTCATGATAAATTCGTCACGGTGCGAAATAAAACCGGAAACAAATGGTTCACACAGGGCAATGTTTACCGGATATTTAAAAGATCTTTGTCATCGGTATTATTCCTTACCTTGGTATCATTACCTAATTGACCCAAAAAAAAAACTGGAAGTGGTAGAGAATGATCAAACTCCGCATATCAAACGTGAAAACACGGCTACAAAAATAAAAACAAATAACTCATCAATATCTTTCCAAGAATTGGATATTATCATTTATTTCTGTTTCTCTCGCCAGGACATGAACGGGGCACGAATGCACGTTGGTACGTGTCTGATTGAAGAACTACGCACAATTTGGAAATTTAGTTGTTTCATTTTTATTTTCCCTTTTTATGAATTTTAATTTTAGTAAACAAAGTGCTATTTTGCAAACGACCGTGACAGTTTACGTTTCACTTTTTGTTCACATGACAGTCATAAGCAAAACCTGTCGCGGTTCTTGCGTGACTGTCATGAACTGCTCAACAATTACGTAACGTAATATTATTAATCACAGGAAAGATTGAGATGGCATAGAAAAAATAGATGAGATGATGAGGATTGAGCCTGTGGGTCGTAGCTGCGCGAAGAGAAAGCGGACGCACAATACCGTATGGCGTGACATAGCTAACGATGCTCCTGAGACACACCCTGTTTTATCCGTGAGTCTCGTCCCAATCTCTTCTCGCTCGAAGCTGGCACAACAGCTCAACCCCTATATAGACACAGTTAACGATGATACTTATGTCAAAAAGGCTTTTAAGCTCGCCTTTTTGTCTTTTTTTTAATTCTGATTTTTTTCTTCAATTTTAATTTTCCTGTTTTTTTTGTCTCGTTATCTGTTTTGTCAGGAGTCCATTACTGAGCTCCTGGTTTTGTTTTTTTTTCCCTTTATGTGAAGGTAGATTATCAGACAGGCAATACATGCAGCCTATTCAATGGTCAAAATATAACTTGATACGCACGGTTATTTTGCGAGTTGCGTGGTATTTTCCGAACCTTGTAGGAAACGTTCCGCCTCAGCCTAACTTTGGCTATTGTATTACGTTCGTTGAATACAATTTATTTTTTAATCTAAAATAAATGAATAAATAAATTGGGTTGACTCGCTCAAGCCGGGATGTCAGGAGAAGGTGTCTAGATCACTTGAGACCATTTTAGCAAACGCCATGAGTTACTTAATACGAGCCACGCCAATTTCGATACCCGTAGGTTTAATTTGATTTTGAAACGTCGAATCAAAAATATCCTCTCCTAACCTAGATCGAAAGTGCTTTCATAAAAACCTCAAAGTGGCAACGAGACGCCATTAAAACAAAGCAGGCCATATGTTTCAGTGGGGGTGAGGGCATTTAATTGCTTTGCAACCTTTGTAAGCCTAATTTCGGTGAGCGAGGGTTTTCTCGGTATTTTCTTCGTAAAAATGATAGCTGATATCTTTGATTTACAGAGAAGAGATGGGTTGAGAGCGAAACAAATGCTTACCAAAGGGGTGAGCGACAGTCAAAAGGAAGAAGTGGGGAGGGGGTGGGGCAATAGTCTTCTTGCTTTTCCCCACTCCCTGCCCCTACTATCCATTCTAACTCTAATTCAAACATGGCTGCGCACGCTTTCAAGTTACACCTTTTGTGAGAAGTAAAGCACAGCCGGTATGTGCAAGGCACGCGTTGAAACTCATGATCAACGGTTGTATTTGTGCAACTGCTTTTATTATCGCTTGTTGAAACATTCAATAAGTAGGTGTAAAATTTTAAGTCTTGAAGCGATATCTACTAGACGCACAATTACTTAAAAATTTTATCACGTATCATCACTTATTACTCTCAGTGATCTGCACAAAAAGGGCCTTGCGGCTATAATTCCAATAGTCTGACCTTAGGGCTGATGAAGTGTCAAATCCAAAACCATCGAATAATTGACTTTCCATCACAGAAGCATGATAGGAACAATTAACTTTTATATCCATATTTATCATACTTATATCAGGCTATCAGTTGAAATTCAAAATTCATCCACACCAATTGGTGTCGTCTTCGTTTTTGTAGTTCATAGCGCCAGTTTGATCCGTAAGAAAATGGACACTGCATTTTTTTGCTACTCAGCAACAACCATAGTGACAATCAGCTGATAACGCCCTTAGTATCAAATACAGAACGTGAGCGTGGTTCTTTCCTGAGAGTGCTTTTTTCTCGCTTTATTTCATTTAGACATCAAGTCGTATGGTTTTTTATTTCTTTCTCCACGGAATATATTTGTAGGTCAATATTAAATAGGGTAGCCTTCATTCTAATCTTTTCTCATTTGAGATGTGAGATATGTATCACGCGTAAATATAAGCTTTTTAGCATTTTACTACAGCCTGAAAAATCCTCATCTTACCAAGCGCACGAACAGTTTAAGAAGAGGGAAAAAAAAACCCTGACAGAACCGAACAGTAATGGAAAGACGTTAGCAATTAGCGACGCTATGGTTAACCATTTCTAAAGCCTTACAAGAGTATTTCAAATTAGCCAATAAGCTGTTTCTTTTTCCCTATTTTGTTTTGTTTTTTCTGTTGTCAATACGGGATTTATCACCGATAAAGATACCTTTCCCGGAAGAAAAAGATCGGCAGTCTGATACAAGCATAAAAGCAGCTAACATCCTTTGTAAATCACTCACTCGTCCAGTCAAAACTCTGGAAGTCCCTGGGTTTCAGGAAAGTATACGGAGTTGCACCTGTCATGAATTTTGAAGGACGCTGCATCGTTTGAGAGAAAAACGGTTATTATGACTTCATTTAAATAGATCTGCATATTTAGAATAGACGCAGAAATAAATTGTGTGGTTCTCTCTAATAAGTCATTTCTCTCTTTCAGATGTTGACAGCTTTGCTGCCGAGATAATTACCAAAAATATAATTTATACCAGCGGAGGATTCAAACTTATTGCTGTGACCTTGCATAGTAGAAATTTGTTTTTTAGTTATTCATCTGCATCCGTTCGCGAAAGCTGAGATAAATTGTGTTTACATCCTCGACCTGTGTAACAAAAGAACTTAAAACATTGAAGTGAGGTAGATTGGTGTAGATTGAATTGATAAACAAACGTCTCACGATTTTAGAAAAACTCACGAACACCTGCCGGCTTCTAAAATAAACATTTGATCGCTTCTTGCACGAATTTACTCTGATTATGTTTGCCGATACATGTTTTTCCCAGCAACGTGCCGTGCTTTCACAGTTGGCGATCTTATCATGATTCAGTGTTTTTCACATAACCAATAACACCCTAAGATGTGTTATCATCATTAACGAACTGCAAGCATCTTCTGCTCGGGGATAATACTTGAAGCAGCATGTGTTAAAAAAAGCCGCATTTAATCGCTCTCTTGTGAAATTATCGTGATATTGGCGAGTTTGGAAATTATTTGACGATGAGTGCAATAAGCCTTAGTTCACCAGAGCACGTACCTGACGGTTGCAAGAAGTTTCATCAAACATCGCCATTTGATAATTTTGAGCGATCCAATGCAACCGGTCTGATCCGCAAAAGGCGTATTCGTATTAACGTGAGAGGATTTCAATTTGAAACCTTCCAAACAACGCTGGAGCAATATCCAGAGACCATGCTTGGATGTCCAACAAGACGGGTCGAGTTCTACGATCCCGTCAGGGACCAATACTTCTTAGATCGTGACCCGGAAATATTCCACTTTATATTGTTTTTCTATCAATCGAATGGAATCCTTTCACGACCTGAAACTATATCAAAAGATAACTTTGACGAAGAGCTCAAGTTCTATGGAATTACAACAGATCAAGAGGAAGCGGACAAAAGAAGCTCTGGGGCTGTCAATGAGGCAGTGGCAGCACCCGAAGAACATCAACGTTTGAAAATGCAAATCCAACGCGATCAAAACTTAAATTGTAGTCAGCGTGAGAAAAATATGCGAACAAGATGTTGGTTGATGTTGGAGTATCCTCGGGTCAGCCTAGCAGGTATGATATGGGGTAGAATCTCAATTAGTATCATCCTACTGTCAGTTTTTGCCTTTTGTCTGGAGACAGTGCCAGAGCTCAATTGCCCTGAAGACAAAATAAGAAACACCCACCGCGAATGGAATCAATCCGCAGGAAATAAAACACAAACAACAATTAATAACGCAAGTCATCAATTGCAAATGACTGCCATAAATGAAACGTCCATGATTTATTTACAAGACTGCTCCGCTGCGCGCATATGGTTTGTTGTAGAAACTTCTATTGTTTTATTTTTTATGGCGGAATACACAATACGAATCTATACTGCACCGAGAAGATGTAATTTTGTTACTTCGTTGTTCGGGATTGTGGATGTGGTGGCGATCGTTCCGTATTTCATTACGTTAGCTGTCTACGGCTGGCGAACGGAGATGAATTTGCAAGTCACCTCTTTCAGTGTGCTCCGAATCATTCGCCTGTGTCGCGTGCTTCGTGTCTTCAAACTCAGTCGCTATAGCAACGGCTTACAACTTGTTGGAAAAACGTTCACGGAGACGTGGAGGACGCTATCGTCTTTAATGATGTGCGTGCTGATGGGCGTGATTCTATCCTCAAGCTTTCTATTTTACTTCGAGGAACAGGATGCAGTCAGCAGCATCGTGAAAAATTTTTATTGGGCAATCATCACCATGACAACGGTAGGATACGGCGATGAAGTCCCCAGGACCCTGCTCGGCAAACTTACTGCGAGTTGTTGTATGGTTTTTGGGATTGTCTTGCTGTTGATTTTACCGTTGCCCGTGTTTGTAACACATTTCAGCAGTCTCTATCAAAAAGAGGCGGAGAAGAAGAGACAGAATAAAAGCAAAGGAGCTTATGCAACTCCCACATTGATTGAAAAGCTAAGGACAAAACAAGTCTAACTATAATGAAAAAAACCCCAGTCACGTCAGAATAAATATGTTAGATAATTATAACAGATGTTTCGAGTAAGAGTCGCAAAACTAACTATTGGGCACTCAACACTTTAACCCTTGAGAGGGACTAGTATCGAATTTCTCTAAACTCTCTTATAATCCCTGCATTGCCTCAGACATAGCAGAGTCAACTAAGTCCCAGATGACTTTCAATATCCATTTTACATATGTTCATTTGCTTTCTTAGAAAAATCGAAAAGGTACAAAGAGGAATCATTCTAGATTGGTTTCCCTGCATTCTGTGCTTTTTTTATGAATTTTCTTCATTTTCCATAGTCGGGTCGTTTTAACAATATTGTATACCATTATGCATTATTACCCAGTACTAGTCGAGGTAGTTTTAATATGGCTGTCGATGAGAAAGGTGTGGTAAGGAGGTTTGAGCAGCCTGAAAACGAAAGCATAGCAAAATGTGCTGTTTTAGAGTGAATATACTGCTTTTTTAAAAAATCTTTTTTTAAATCGAAAGTCGAAATCTTTCCCTCCTTTACTACTTTTTTTTTTCGCGTTCATACTTTTATGAAAGATCTCTCTAAAATATGGCAATTGCAAAGCAAAGAAAACTGAACTAAGTTGATTCTCTTGAGATCAGCCCACTGTTGCTGGACACGAAATTCAGAGAAATAAGATCAATATCAGTATCTGGGCAACTGCCCACCTACCCCTCCCTTAACCCAACAA